CTTCTGTATCCACTGTTGCTAGAAGTCTTAGCTGGGGTCATCCTTGTAGATTTGTGAGAGCTTCCCTTGCACCAGGTTTCTATCTGACCCTGAGATGCCTCTCCTTTTCAGTCATTAAGTATAAATAAAAATTTTATTTGAACTGGAATTTAGTCTTAAAGAAGAGGAGAGGAGGGAAGAGACTTTCATTTGAGAAAGGATTAATATCCAGATCACGTAATGAACTAAAAATATACCATGGAACCCAAATGGTACAATCATAAACATATAAATGAACTGAACAGACACTTTTTAAAAGAAGTACAAATGGCTAACTAATATTCATTTAAAATATGCAATATCCTTCTCCATCAGGGAAATGCAAATCAAAACTCTGCTGAGATTCTTCACCCCAGTCAGAATGGCTGCCATGTAGAAAACAAGCAACAGGTACCCGTGAGGATACGGGCAGGGTGGGGGAAGGGGTGGAGCAGGGCCGGCGCTATAGCTGAAAAGAAAAATTAATAGAGCCATATGGAAATCAGCACAGAGGATTTACCAGGAGCTAAAAATGAAAAGCCATACAATCCTGTTTTATTACTCCGGTACTTATCTGAAGGGAACTGAGTCAGTATGAAAACGAGATATCTGCATATGTATAATTATTGTGGAGCTACTCTCATTGACCAATATATTGGAATCAGATGAGGCTTATCAACAGATGAATGAATAAGGAAATTTTGCTATCTATACAGAGGAATATTATTTAACAATAAAAATGAAATTGTAGCATTTGCAGAAAAATATATACAAATGTAGAACACTGTATGGTTTCATTCTTTCTTTCTAAAATGCTACCAGTGTACATTTATTATACTCTATACTCTAACCACATTAACCCTGCATTATCATTTCTTATCCCACCTACTCCTGCCATGGTCATCTTTCTGACCCCAAATAGTCCTCCTTCTACATTCATGCCATGAGTGCATGTGTGTGTGTGTGTGTGTGTGTGTGTGTGTGTGTGTATAAATACACACTCTTATGTAGATATAAGATACATAGATCTATGTTCTAAACTCTGAATATGTCAAACAAGAACTCTATCACTGAGCTATATACAGCCCAAATGCTAGCTAGACTCTCTGCATATAATAGAAAACACATAATCTCTATCTTTCTGAATTTGGCATTTGGCTGGAGAAACAGAAATGTTACTCAGAGGAAAGTGTGAAAACTGTACCCAGCCCCTGGAACGAGGAAAGCCAAAGCCTCAACCACGTGATAAGCCACTGTGATAGTTAATCTTGGTTGTTAGTTTGACACACCTTGGGACAGAGAACCTCAGCTGATGAATTGTCTCCCTTGGATTGGACGATGGGTCTATCTGTGTGACACATCCTTAATTGTTGATTGACATGGGAAGCCGCTGTGGGCTGGACCACCCCTCTGTAGTTGGTCTTAGGAGATATAAGAAAGGCAGTTGAATGTGAGTCTGGAAGCAAGCCAGGGAGTAATTTTCCTCTGAGGCTTCTTGAGCTTTTAGCTTTGAGATCCTGCCTTTGATGGTGGACTGTAACCTGTAAGCTAAAACAAACTCTTTCCTCCTGAAGTTGCTTCTGGTCATGGAGTCATGGCATCAGAAGGCAAACTAGATCAGTCACTCATCACTGGGGGAGACTGCCTGGTAGTCCTAGTCCTAGTCCTAAAATAAGCCCATGGCTCTCACAAAACTGAAATCCAACATGGGGATTTGATGTGACAGTAACTCCCTCTGTGTGACAGGCCAGCACTGGAGACAGAATCTATTTTGTTATCCCCCATACCTCAGAATGTCATCAGCCATGGCCTTGGGAGGGGCCTACTATTTGAGACTGAGCTACTCTGGGGACCTATAAAGAGTAACAGTCACATGTCAGGGAGCCTGAGGATGCCCTGCCAGTGTCCAGGTGGAAAATGGACACAAGAGACAGCCATGAAGAGGGGCAGGGTCAGATTTGGACATGATAAGAAGTTTAGGCAGCAGAGGAGTTGGTGGTTGGCAACATGAATGAAAATTTCAAGCAGGAAATTGAGATTTGGGGCAAGGAGCCAAACAGAAATGTTAGGAATAGTTCTGATCTCCACTGGGTCAGGTTTAGCCACTAGTCACTAGGGCTGCTCAAGGGCCTTTCTTTCCCTAAAACACAGGAGCTTCTGGGGATATTAGACTGTCCCTTCGGTACTGTAATGGAGTAACCAGGGACTTTGCCCCACAATAACTGGGAGAGTTCTATTGCTCCCCTCTCCCTATGACAGAGGAAAACATATAAAACTTTCCTACCTTGTGTCTACATTCTTCAGAGCCAGGACAGGGTGCAGGCACAGGATACCAGACAATTCTCCTAAAGAGGTCCAATTGGCAGCTTGGGCGATTTTCCTGGCTACATAAATCTAGCAATAAGGACCAAGACTGGAAGGGAAATAGGCCAAGCACAAAAGAGCATTGTAATAGCATTGTGATTCAATTAGGCTTCTAAGTGCTGGAGGGCAGAAAGGAAATCTTAAAGTCATTGTCTCTCCATCTGGTTCTTGAATCTTCCTCAGCAATAACAACTCATACTTAAGTCCCTCCACTGATGACCTCAGGGCAACCCATTCCACAAGCCAACTGCACAGGTTGAGTCACATGTTTTTCCCTGAGATGTCCACTTCCCCTCCAACAATGGCCAGCAGTCATGGGGTGAAGTCTCTCACACAGAGTGCTTCAGCTACATGCCATTGATTCACTCTAGTTTCCCTTCTTGGGACTCAGTTTTCAAAGTTTCCCACTCATGGCTTGTTAGTCACAACACCATTACCACATTAACTTTAATCTCCACACACCACATTTATTTCCGTTGCTCTGGTTTGTGGAATTAAACACACTTTGCAGGTAGGTTCTGACTACTTAGAGAAGAGAATTATTCCCTCTCCTTCTTAAAACCACTCTTCGAAGAATGCACGAGAGTGTTGGAGCCCAGGGGCTTTAATGCCTTGGAGTTTAATGTCTGCAAATGGTGCAGTGTGAACTAACACTGAACTCACTCTAGTGTGAAACATCTAAGAATTTGTTGTTATAAACCATACCAATTTCTTAGACATGTGCAGTGTTACTTCTTAGCCAACAGGTTGCAACCACTTTTCTTTTCTTCTTTTCTGATTCTTTCTATGTAGCTCAGGTTAGCTACAAATTCATGACGTAGCCTAGGCTTACTTCAAACTCATAGATGTCTTTTAGCCTCCTAAATGCGAAATTACAGGTATGCACTACTATGCCCAGTTTCAACCCACTTTTTCACTCAAGTCCAAGAGTAAAAATGTTAATTTGATCAAAATATTATGCCTGGTCAGGTTAAAATTTGGTGAGATTGACACAACCTCAGGGATTGTGGGTTATTTAAAAAAAAAAAATTCCTGGGCTGGAGAGATGGCTCAGCCGTTAAAGGCTAGGCTCACAACGAAAAATATAAAAAAAATTCACCCCTCCCAATCTTGTTCACCTTCATGGCTAGTAACCTGGTTAGTTAATTTGTTTTGTCCCGATCAGTTAGTTGCTTTTTTTTTTTTTTTATTACCTCTGAAACTTTCCCTTGTTAGTGCTCTCTCATGCAGGCATGATTCTTTAATCATTTGGAAACATGATTCTGCCATTCAGCACATTTACTCTTTCCTATCTTTACAATCCCCAGACATTCAGAAAAACAGGTTTTATGGGAAGACTGACAACAGACTGGAGATGTGCATGGTGTTCCCAGAGAGACCAGCCTAACACAGGTGTTATTGTCCAGAGTGCCCTAAAGTGGAATGCCGCATGAACCTGGAAGATCATGACACAAAGCCAGGATCTCCTTCCTCAGGTCCCCTTGACTCCAGAGATGGAGGAGCATAAGGGACTGTCAGCAGTCTTTGCTTTCCAAATAGTCATCAGCCAGAAGTTGAGTTAGATATATTTTTTCAGCCTTTAAGCTTGCACTATGTTTTCACAATGAAAACACATAGGCAGATGTCCTGAGTTAAAAATCTATACCCTATCATCTCCTGCTTGAGTGACAACCAACAATGCAGATGAAGCAGGAAAGCATTGGGCTTTAAAAGCCCAACAACACAACATGGCAGGATCCATGTTAAAGCAACAGGCAAGCACAGTGAACTATGGTGAGTGGGTAGGAAAGTGTATCTTAAAAACAGGAAATGGGTCTATGTCTCCCACCAAAGCCAGAAAGACAATAAGTCAACAATGAAAATCAGCTCCACAGCAGCAAACTGAGGAACCTGGATCTCATAATATAGCTGGACTTGGCAGCCAACTTCCCCTGAGATGCCCTAAGAATAAATTTGGAGTGTCTGTGTTTGGCAAAAAGTAAACATCAGAGATTCATGTCTTACTATCATGTCAGAAAATAGTGCTGTGTTCCCCATGATAAAGTCTGAACACTGGGTGATTAATTGCAGCTGTCAGGGGATACATCAGTGCTCTGTCTCACATTCAAACCTCTTCTGACAATCTGTAACAAATGGACAATAAGACTGTACCATGAATTTATTCCCATGATTAGAAACAAGTATATGTCATGCTAGAATGTACAGGCTATGCTGTGTGAACTGAGACTGAAGTGCGTAATATCAAGAGGCAAAATGCCATGTGACGGTGCCCTTTGATCATAATTTAGAAAGGTAACTCAGGAAGTGCTGACAGACCAATTCGAACACACCAGGAAGAGAAATTGTGTTCCTTCCCCAACCTGAAAATGTAACCAGGAAAACAATATTGCTTAATTTGATAATCACATATTTATCTACGCAAACAATAACAAGGAAAGAATGCGGCCTGTGAGGACAGCAGTCCCTCGGCGGGGTATAAAAGGGGATGTGGAGAGGGAGACTCCCACTTCCAAACCTTCCAATCCACCTCCTTGTAAATCCACCCAGAATCTCCACCTCTGACACCATGATCAATTCCTGCTGTGGCTCTGTCTGCTCTGAGGAGGGCTGTGGCCAAGGCTGCTGCCAGCCCAGCTGCTGCCAGCCCAGCTGCTGCCAGCCCAGCTGCTGTGTGTCCACCTGTTGCAGACCCACCTGCTGTGTGTCTAGCTGTTGCAGACCCAGCTGCTGTTGCAGGCCCACCTGCTGTGTGTCTAGCTGCTGCCAGCCCAGCTGCTGTGTGTCTAGCTGTTGTAGGCCCAGCTGCTGTTGCAGGCCCAGCTGCTGTGTGTCCAGCTGTTGCAGACCCAGCTGCTGCCAGTCTGTGTGCTGCCAGCCCAGCTGCTGCCGCCCCAGCTGCTGCATCTCCAGTTGTTGCCGTCCCAGCTGCTGTGTGTCCAGCTGCTGCCGTCCCTGTTCTGGTGGTTCCAGCTGTTGTGGGTCCAGCTGCTGCAGGTCTCAGTGCTGCATCTCCAGCTGCTGCCGCCCCTCCTGTTGCCAGACCACCTGCTGTCGTCCAGCATGCTCTAGCAGTTCTTGTTGCTGAGTGCTCTCACCCAGTCTCCTGTTCTTCACCAACTAACATCCCTTATGTAGACCACCTGTGAGATGAATCCTGTGATGTCTGTTATAAGCCTGTAGTACCAGTTGATTAGTATGCTGCTTTTGCCTGCAAATATACCCTATCTCTCACTATACTACTCACTCATTCTTATATGAACACAGCTTTGAATTTCCTTTAGATTCCTTAAAACTATTATGTGACACCCCCCCTACAATGGAAAAATGTGTTCCCTGCCCTATTTCCTAAAATGGAGTTATTCCTATAACTTAAATAAATGTGGATTCTGCAGCCATATAAATACAAAGCATTTTGTCTTCTTTTTCCTTCCTGTTGTCACATTAACAGCTTTTCTATAGTCCATCTCTAAAAACGAAAAGACCACAGGGCATGGTGGCATGCATGTCAGCCCTTTAGAAATCTTCATTGGAAAGCATAAATGTGGATGTTTAGAGCCAGTACCTGGATTCTTCCTATGGATAGTATCTTATAAAGACTGAGCTTTAGACGTAAGAGTTCAAACCTCTGTGCTTGTGCCTGTATTTAAGGGGATATCAGCAGGCAGCAGGCTGAAGCAGGCTGTGGTTAAGGGGCTGCCACAATAAGAAGTGTGTGCTCTGTTGGGTTTGGCTTAAACAGAAACTTTTGCAGGAACAATAACAAGGAAAGGTTCTCCAGAGGAACCTGGAAGAAACTTCCAGGGCGATGATTACAGTAGTAGAAACAAAGTGTGTTTTCCATAAATGCCAACCCATTTGACATCACTTGACAGGGAGGTTCTAGAATTCGAGCAGGACTTCAGCCCTTCCTTTCTTAGAGGGTCTTAGTGTCTGGACCTTTGCACTCCTACTCAGTTATCACCATCTGTGACCATTCAGTGTAGGAGATGTGCAGGTATGACAGAAATGTGTAGAGAAGGCAGCATATGCATAAGAAAAGAATTACCCCAAGAACACAGCACACAGCAAATGATCAGTGTGAGCCACCTGCATTGTGTGCTCACACTAACTTCAGGATGGGGACCATAGGATAAAGGGTACCTGGGTAGAGCATCCTTTTATCCACCCATGCACCTCCTTCTTCTAGTTACTCCAGTTCATTTAGTCAGAATGACTAGAGAAAGTTATAGTAGGCATATCAGATGCCTTCTTTGAAGAGCCACTTAGATCACATCCTGAGAGTTCTCAGCCAGTGGCTACTATATTCTTATCTAAATAAAGCTGCTATTCTTGGCCATTTACACTTAGCACTCAAACTAAAATTGCCAGGACTGCATAGTGGGTCATCAGCACTAAATGTACTGTTCATCAGGGTCTCTACTTCACCATGGTGGAACAGTCAAGCTCTGTGAGTCAATATCAGAGATTCAGAAACTCCACGTCCTTTCAGACCATATTGTGACAAAGAGCAGGAGAGTCAAGACAAGCTGAGGTTAAGACAGTGCATTTACATTTCTATTTGGTTCTATATGAACTAGGACTGTCTCCTCTTAACTTTATATCCATTTGCATTCAATATCAGATACTGTTAGCTCACTTCCCCCAAGATTTTATATATCTCAAGATAGCTATAACTGGGTCTGTTAAATGGTCTCATGCTCTGTACTGACATTCATTATAGTATGTTTGCTTTGTGGGGACTGTCCTGGTGAATTTCATTGAAATCTGATTTGATTGACTATTGTAGGATATTTGTTTATACTGTGTGAAGATCTGTTGTTGTGATTGGTTTAATAAAGAGCTGAATGGCCACTAGCTAGGCATAGGGAGAATAGGCGGGACTTCTAGGGAGAGAGAGGAACTCAGGATGAATTTAGGCATGTGGGAGATGCCAACAAGACATTGAGAAAGTTGGACATATAGTATGGAGGAGAGATAACAAGCCATGTGGCAAAATGTAGATTAATAGAAATAGGTTGATTTAAGTTGTAAGAGCTAGTTTGAAACAAGCCCAAGCTAAGGCCAAACTTCACTGATTAAGTCTCCATGTCGTTATTTGGGGTTTGGTGGTCCAAAGAAAGTCTGATGAGAAAGCTTGCTATATTTGGTGCCCCACATTGAGCGCCAAATGATGTTTTTCTGTCAGCTTAGTGCCTGCACATGAATCTACTGATATTTTAATTAATGTCTGCAGCCCTATGCCCCACCCAGTCAATGCTCCACCAACCACTCAGGCCATGGCTTTGAGGGCCTTCTAGTCCCACCACCCTAGCTCTGCTGTGGCTGCCATATGTAGGTTTAAACTAAGTCTCTGTTGTTCTATTTACCAACAAAGACTCAGAAGTCAGAAGTGGGGGTGAAAACCTGCTAGAACAGAGAAGCCAAGAAGCAACCAGCTGACCTTGTTTTTTGGCCAGAGACACAACAAGAGACATGTCTCTTCACTTGTTTCAAAACCAAAAGGATGCACCAAACTCTAGTCCCATCTTTTCCTTCTTTTCACCTTGCTTTTCATTCCTGGCTTCTCTGTGTCTAATTCTGGTCAGCTAGGCACTGGCTCCACCCCCTGATTCAAAGTTAACTTTATTAACAGTCTCGGAGCATCACAGTGTGATCAAATATCCCTCAACAATTGACCTCCCATGCATGTCTTTGAAAAGGCTTTAATCTATAATTTTTATTGACTAGCTCACATGAGAGATGGACATGAGTGTTAGGCCATTTTAAGGACATCATGTGGCTTTCTCTATTCTAATAGTTTTCATTCCACAACTCAAGGAAACAATGTGCTGTAGCTAATGTTTATGAACTGGGTACATGGCTATCTGGGGCACACATGGATCCAGTGGACAGATTGTGAGACCCACATGGGTCAAGACTCAATTTATTTTCTGATATCACCACCAGATCCCAATGAGGGTTCTGTTGGCATTTTGGAATGCTGTTGCCAGTGTTAACTCAGATCTGATGATCAATAACACACAAATGTGTGGGCATTTCACTTGCCTCTGAGTTGTTGCAGGAGCTTTTAGAAACAGACAAAAGGGTTACCTCTATTTGTATTTGTTTTGATACTATCTTTCAGAGGACTGTCTTCCTTTTCAATGGATGGGTCATGGGTTTGAGAAGTGTATCCAGGTGGAACTTGGAGAAGGATTGCCATTGGTGCAACTTACCTAAATACTTTCCTCATTTTTCAATTCTTTCAGGATGCATATTTACATGCGGTGATATACTGTGTATTAAATAAAGCTTGCCTGAGGATCAGAGGACAGAACAAGTCACTAGATTAAACATAGAGGTCAGGCAGCAGTGATACACACCTTTAATCCTAGCACTTTGGAGGCAGAGATCTATCTGGATCTCTGTGAATTCAAAGCCACCTTGGACTACATGAGATTGATTCAGTCTAGGAGAGAAACAGATCCAGGCAGTGGTGGCACACACCTTTAATCCCAGCACTTGAGATCTCATGCCTTTGCTACCAGTATTTGGGAAGCACACACTCCATTAATCCCAGCACTAGGAAGGAAGTGAAATGGCTAGGCAGAGAGAGAGGTATATAAGGCACGAGGAGACAGGAATTAAAGGCTTTTTGGCTGAGGACTCAGAGGCTTTCAGTCAGAGGATTTGTGGAGATAGGATCTTGCCTTCCATTCAGCCTGAGGATTCAGTAGTGCTGAGAAGTTTCTCTAGTGGCCTGTTCTTTTGTTTTCTCTGATCTTTCAGCATTTACCCCAGTATCTGGCTCTAGGTTTTGTTTTGTTTTAATTAAAAGACCAATTAGGATTTGTGCAACATTTACATGTTAGAGAACCCCTCACAAAATCCACTATATGCACTGAAAGTTGTGCATCCAACTTCATAAAACAAACACTACTAATACAAATGGATGGATTGGTCCAGATATAATAACAGTGGAAGATTTCAGTACTACTTGTTCAATCTATTGGTCATCGAGACTCCTATCCAAAAGTTACCATAAAGCTTTAGGACTAACCTATACTATTAGGCCAGACAGACTGAACAGAAATCTAAGGATGTTCTATTATACATTTTACATATTCTCAAGACCCTGTGAAACTTTTGTCAAATCATATTTAAGACCATAAATCAATTCTTAACAGACATAAAAATTTAAATGTGTTTTTGTATTTTATCAGATCAAAATGAATGTAGAAATTAACAGTGAAAGATATTACAGAAACAATACAGTCATATATAGAGTAAATGATATATTTTTGAGTGATCAGTCATTGGATAAATCATCAAGGAAACTATAAAAGTCCTAAACTCTAATAAAAATGAAAACACAGCCTATCAGAACCTGTGGTCTACAGCAAAGGCTGTAAGTACTAATGTTTTGTTTTTAACAATGAGTGCCTATAGTTAAAAACAAGAAATCTTTTTAAAAAACTTTCCACAAGACATCAGCCCCACAAAGACAATCATTACATTTCCTTCCATATGTGGAAAAACTATGTACATGAAAACGGAAGAGGGATTTTAGGGAAGGGTAGAAGGATGGTGAGAGAGATTAAGGGACAGGTACCATCAAAGTACATTATATACCTATGGAATGTCATGATGAAATCCATTATTTTGTTCCATTACATATGCTAATAAAACACAAATATATGTGCATATACATATGTACTGATACACGTATATCTGTAGTGCCTACAGTAACAGATACTGGTTTGGGTGGCCATGTCTTATAATTAGGAATACCAGGTTCTCCTTCAAAATCCACAGATTGCTGGGAGTTACGCTCTACTTCTGTCCCATCTGCCATTCCTAACTAATTACCCATACTATAATTATACTCATATTAATCCTCAGAGCTAAATGGTTCTACCTGGATTCTTTTGTGATCTTATCATTCCCATTACTCCTCTGGACCTACATTCTGCAGCAATACTTCCTATAAAAACGAGGGCTTTAGTGAATTGTCTCTATTCCGAATTTATCCACAATGCTGGTGACCCCTTATTGCCCTCTGCTAAACCATCTTAGTAAACAGAGCATCTCTTGGGCCACTGAGAA